AAAAAAAAAAAAAAAAAAAAAAAAAAAAGAAAGAAAGAAAAAAAAAGGAAATCAAATTTTATTTTCAATAGCACTTTCTGGAATGAACCAGTTTGGTGCCTAGGACAGGACTGCAGCGGGCCTTAGCAGGTGTGCAGGTTAGCAGGTGTGCAGGTTAGCAGGTGTGCAGGTTAGCAGGCGTGCAGGTTAGCAGGTGTGCAGGTTAGCAGGTGTGCAGGTTGGAACACTTCAAACAGCCCCAAGTGGGACAATTGGAAACACAATGTTTGTATGGAAACAAAACTAATCTCGAGCCTGGTACAACAAAGGCCAAGCGAAGACTGTGAGGACCCCCGTCAGCCCCCCAGAGGGCATCTGTCGTGGTGCCCAGTGAATTCTGGGCTGGTCGGGCGGGAACAGGGCTTGCTCACCGATGTACTCCTCCACCTGGACGTAGCCATCTTTGTTCCTGTCAAGGTCCTCTAGGGTCTCCTGGAAGGGGCATTGGGAGGAAGTCAGTGTGTCTGCTTTTGACCCGAGGACTTTGAATGCAGCAGGGATGGACATGTGTCTAGGGGAAGGCAGCCAAGAAAGCTTTCTGTCCAACCTTGCCCAGCTTTGTGTCTTGTTTTATGAGACAGGTTCTCACTGTGTGGCTCTGGCTGTCAAACTCGCTGTGTAGACCAAGCTGGCTTTGAACTCAGAGCCCCACCTGCCTCTGCCTCTTGAGGCTTATGAATTATGTATTTTTAAAGATTTTTTAAAATTTGATTTTGGATGTTTTGCCTGCATACCCTGTACCACGTGTATGCAGAGCCCTCTGAGGCCGAAGAGGACGTCAGCCCTGCAGAGTTGGAGTGGGGGGGGGCTTGCGCAGGAACAGTGGGTGCTCCTAACCAGAAAGCCATCTTTCTGTTGGCCATGTTTTCATACAGACACACATCATGTCTACTCTTCATGGTATCTGTCCTAATTAAAAAGCTTGTTTCTGGGTCTGCTGTAACGGCTTGCACCTTTGATCCCAGCAGTTGGGAGGCAGAGGCAAGCAAATCTCTTGAGAGTTTGAGGCCAGCCTGGTCTATAAAATAAGCTCCAGGGCAGCCAGGGCTACACTGAGAAGCCCTGTCTCAAAAAAACCAAAAAAAAAAAAAAAGTTTCTGTACCCCACTTTTACATTCAAACTCACTCAGTAAAAGATGATACAGGCAAGTATTGAAGGTGTGGCTCAGCAGTAGAGTCCTACCCAGAATCCCCCAGTGAGGGCTGGGGCAAGGCTCAGAGGTACAACATTTGCTTAGCATATTCATGACCACACCACAAAACAACAGCAACAACAAAAATGATTTTAGGATCTAGGGAGACAGTGGAGTTGATAAACTAAAGCCACAGAATCACGTGCCTGTGCTGGATGATTCCAAACCCACACAAGACAGGCCTGGTGGCACACACTTATAAACCCAGGACAGCCAGGGGTGGTGGGCACACCTTTAATCCCAGACTTGGTAGGCAGATCTTTGTGAGTTTGAGGCCAGCCTGGTCTACAAGAGCTAGTTCCAGGACAGGCTCCAACGCTACAGAGAAACCCTGTCTCAAAAAAACAAAAAAACAAAAAAAACCAAAAAACTGGCGGTTTCTGGGTGGTGGTTGCACATGCCTTTAACCTCAGCACTTGAAAGACTGGCAGGAAGATCTTTGTGAGTTCCAAGCCAGCCAGGTCTACAAAGAGAGTTCTAGGGCAGCCAAGACTGTCACAGAGAAACCTTTCTCAAAAACCAAAACAAAACAAAAGCACTGGCTTCTTACAGAGGACCTGGTTTCAGCTGCGAGCACCCACAGTGGGCAGTTCACAAACACCTATAATTCCAGGTCCAGGCGGTCCCACGCCTTCTTCGGCCTCCTTAGCACCTGCATGTTTACCTAGGGCCCAGCCACAGTTGGGGTTCACCTGAGGGTCTTCTAAGGATGTGGTTGTCTGGGCACAGGCCAGGAACTGGACACCCAACACCCAATGAGATCACAGGGAGGTCTGACAAGGGGACATGGGAGAGGCTGCTGTCCCCACAGCTATGTCAGTGGCCTGGAGTTCATGTAAAAGAATGGGGACCTAGAACAGGTTTGGGAAGCAGGTATTCTGCAACCTTACTCACTGCAACCACAATGTCCCGCATATGGGGGAACTCCTCGGGGTGCAGAAAGGCTGTTAGCTCTTCCCGGGTAGCCATGGAGTCCCCATCCTGGTCGGCCACCCGGAATCGCCGCTCATCCCGAGCCAGCATCTTCTTGTAGGTCTCAGCATCCTCCACATCATGGAATTCCTCCCCTGGGGAAGGACAGATGACAGATGTGGGTGAGGTGCATGGTCACAGAGGTGGCCCGGTGGCCTAGGAAACAACAGAAGGACCCAGAAGTCAGTTGCGTGCCTAGCCCCACACTCTGGTAACCCTCTACCTTCCCATCTCGGCACAGGCCGAGGAGGACCGCTACCCAGGAATGCTGGCTAATTTTATGTCAGCTTGACCCAGGTTAGAGTAATCTGAGAGATGGGAATACCAGCTGAGAAAATACCCCTGGCAAGGCAGAGCTGCTCAGCCTCCCTAATGCACTTCCTAATGCTGTGGTCACCCCAGCCTGAAAATTCTTTTTGTTGCCACTTCATAGTTGTAATTTTGCTACTGTTCTGAACTGTGATGTAAATATCGGATATGCAGGATATCTGATATGTGACTCCCAGTAGGGTCACAACTCACAGGCTGAGCATCACTGCTGTAGAGCATTTTCTCAATTAGTGATTGATGTGAGAGGGCCTGGTCTACTGGAGGTGGGAAAGCAGGCTGTTGGTAGTGGTGGCACACTCCTTTAATCCCAGCACTCAAGAGGCAGAGGCAGGCGAATCTCTGAGCTTGAGGCCAGCTTGGTCTACAGAGCGAATTCCATCCAGGATGGCCAGGGTTACACAGAGAAACCCTGTCTGGAAAAAACAAAGAAACAAAAAAAGAAAGCGGACCGAACAAGCCATGGGAACAAGCCATGGGAACAAGCCAGACAGGAGCATCCTCCTGCATCAGCTCCTGCCTCCAGGTACCCGCCCTGTCTGGGTCCTTGCCCTGACATCAGTGATGCACAGTGTGTGGATGTGGAAGTCAGATAAACACTTTCCTCGCCAACTCGCTTTCGGTCATGGAGTTTCATCACAGCGATAGTAATCTTAACTAGGACACCAGGGCTGCTCAGAGAGACTGTCTCAAAAGGAAAACAGAGATCAGGGGTCAGGACTACAGCATATGGAAGGAAAATGTTCTGGGCAGGGATGTGGAGTCTCCAGCCAGCTTGTCACACAGGTTGGATCTCACAAGGGAGAGCAAGCTAGATCAGAAATGGAGGAGAGGTATCAGTGATAAGGTCCTAAAAGAGAGGGCAAAGGTGAGGTGGGCATACCGGGCTCATAGTGGCCATACGTGGCATTGCGTAACTCCTCCCAACCCACACGCCCGTCGCGGTCCGTGTCGTAGGTGTGCCAGGCTGCGCTCACCGAGTCGCGGATGTGCCGCTGTTGTGTGTGCGCAATCCACGAACGGAGCTCGGCTAAGGACACCCAGCCATCGTTGTCCCCAGCAAGATCCATGCGGTCCACGATCCGACTGCGAAGGGGACAAGGCATATATGCAGGCACAGAACACTATACATAATAAACAAATAAATCTAAAAAAAAGACGGAAAATTCTGCACAACACCCACAGGTGAACCCAGAAGAGGTATTGCCTGTGTTTTGTTTCTAGTGTTTTTTGTTTTGTTTTTGAAAGAGGGTGTCACTATGTAGCCCTGGTTAGCCTGAAACTCACTGCATAGGCCAGGCTGGCCCTGAACTCACAGATTTGTCTCCCAAGTGCTGGGATTAAACTGTGCGCCAGCCCAGGATCAGGAGGAGTGTCGCCATCGGTAGGTCTCGCCCACTCCAGGTCTTTGCCCGCCCTGACTGTATCCCTCAGAGACACTGTCACACACATCTGGAATGGCAGCCGGATGAACTGAGAGACACATTTAATCTCTGCACTGGCCCCTCTTTGCCTAGCCCTTCCCCACAGGCAGCTAGAGATGTGGATTAGCACCGAGATGTGGATTAGCACCTGGCTCAAACAAAGGGCACACTCTACTCTAGCCCACCCCAAAACTCTGCACAGACCTCAACCATAGCTGATTGAGCTGGAGTGGGGACAGCGAGTACGGTCTCTTGACGGTGCCCTAGTTCTAGAGTGCCAGATGTCTATTAACCCCGAGGTTCCACCTCTTGCCATCTCAGGGCCCGCCCCTCTCTCAGGCAGCCTGTGGACTCAAGCTCTGCCCACTTCCCTAGATGGGCAACATCAATTTTGGGCTCCTCCCTCCCCAGCTCAGCCCTGTGAAACTTCCAATACCACTTCTTGCCCAGTTTAAAAGGAGTACTTCGTTAGCCAGACATGGTGCGTACACCTTTAGTCCCAGCACTCAGGATGCAAAAGCAGGCGAATCTCTGCATTTTAGACAAGTGTGGTCTACATAGAGAGTTCCAGACCAGCCAGTGTACTCAGTGAGATCCTATCTCAAAATAATAAAAATAATTTAAAAGCATGGAGTGGTCTTCTTGTCCCCCAGGGCCATGCTGTGTCCTCCAGTTTGAGTCACGACTCCACCCCTCTTAGTTCAACCTAAATTCTGAGCTTGGAACTCTCAAATTTCTTCATTCTCTTTCAAGAGTTGGTGACCCGTTTAGAAGCTAAGAGGGTCAGAACAGGGATGTCCAGACGGAGGAAGTAGCGGGGTAACTCAGGTGTCGGTAAGACGGGTTCACCGCAGCCTAAGTTTAATTCTGTCTTTTCCCAGGAGGCGAGTACCACAGCTGTGTCCAGTCTCCTGCCTCTGACCTTTTCAGTGAGCTCAATTCTCCCCCACTTCCCACCTCCGCTCGGCTTCCCCCATTCCTACCCGAGTCGGGCCTGGCTTTCCTCTGGGCTGAGTTGGTCGAATTCCTTGGCTACATCTCTTCCCAGGAACGCCTCGTGGTCATACTGGAAATTTCCGTGGGCGTCATCGTGGGGGGCGTCGCTCAGGGGGGCTCCCTGATGCACCCTACCCTGGCCATGAGGTCCGGCGTCAGGGGATGGTTTCCCCAGGGCCCACCACCTCAGCAGCAAGAGAAGCAACAGAAGCGACCGTCGCCACATCATTGGTCCCTGGGGAGGGGTGAGGACCAGTGGTCAGCGGGTCACATGGGACAAAAATCCAAATCAGGCATTAATGTAAACTTCAAAGTTAGGGGAGTAGCTTAAAGCAGGGCAGATATAAGCAAGCTACAAAAAGTTTGGGGCTTAAGAAAAGTCGGCAAAAAAGAATAGGGAATTTGAAGGTAAAACCGCCTATGGGGGTAGAATCAGTGCCTCGGAGGAGTCCCAGAGGAGAAAGCGGGTATTTTAGCTGAGACGTGGCACACGCCCCACGCAAAGTTCAGGGCACGGTGGTGACTGAGAGCATCATGCAGGGTCCTCTGTGTGTCCCCCCCGGACCGAGACCGTGACCCTGAAACCCCTTCCCGAGCTAGCTCCCCACCCTTCCCCCGGTTACCAGGCTTGGGTTCGCTCCCCACGATGAGCTCTGCTTTCGCGCAAAGATGCCCAACCTGGCGCGGCGCCAGTCAAGCTCCGCCCCGGGCAGCCCAGAGGCCCCCGCCCTCCGACCAATGACGGCGCAGGAGGCCCTCAGAGGCGGAGCCAATGGGCGCCAAGGTTGCCCCTGGAGCCCCTCGCCACGTCCACAAGGTTGAGCGCTGGCCTGGAAGGAGGGGTGGGCGATAAGGCAGATCCGAACTACAATTCCCAGGAGGCTTATGGGCAGCCTGTCCCAGAGGATTAGGAGAAGCGTATTTTTTTTTTTTTTAACCGTTTCTCGGATTGTTTTAAGAAAAGAGAAGATAGGACTTGGTGGCTCATGCCTTTAATTACAACACTTAGGAGGCAGAAGCAGGTTGACTTATTATTACTTTTTGTTCGTTTTTTTGTTTTTGTTTTGTTTTTCGAGACAGGGTTTCTCTGTGTAGCTTTGGAGCCTGTCCTGGAACTAACTGACCTCGAACTCATGGAGATCTGCCTGCCTCTGCCTCCCGAGTGCTGGGATTAAAGACTTAAAGGCATGTGCCACCACCACCCAGGTAGCAGGCTGATGAGTTCGGGACTATCCTGGTATACATAGTGAGTTCCAGGAGAACCAAGACCACATAGAGAGACCCTATCTCTAAACGAAAGAAAGAAAGAGGAGAAAGAGCTGAATTCCTTGAAATGCCTGACAGCGCAGGTATCATATACTTTCTAAAAACACACAACTCAGTGTATAAAATGGACAGGCTCTGCCACGGCAACCAGGAGGATTCTGATTTTCCCCAAACTCGTTCAGTTATCCCCACGGCCTGAAACTTAAGAATAACAGTGCACACATAGATTTGGGCCCAAATTTATGTTGAAATGAAAAGAGCCATGTACATTAGGAGGGGAAACTGAGGCAGTCCACAAAAGGACGGGTCCACAAGAAGGACGTCTGGCCCAGGGCTCCCTCAGGAGGCTCAGGGATGCCAAGAGTTCAGGAGGTCACACAGCACCAAATGCTGCAATGGGTATTGGCGGCCTTGGCTGGCATCAGGAAGTGGCTGGGAAGGCCTTTGCACCGTGAGGGTCAGCCTCAGGGGGCAAGTTGCCACCGGGCAGCAGGTCACCTGAGTCATCGCCGCTGAGGGAAAGCCATGGGGCTAAGAGAGAAGAACAGAGGTCAGAATCTGTAACCAAGGTCTCACCTGCCCCACACACCATGAGGGTCCCTCTCTGGTCTCTGTCCCATCTCTCCCTCTTGTCTTTCTCTCTGGTCTTTGTCACCCTCCTCCCCTCTCCCACGCGCACCTGGCAGCCCACTGCGCATCCTGTTCCACAGCAGCACGCCCCCTGCAGCAGCCACTAGGACCAGCAAGAGACCAAGAACGATTCCAACCACAGGCACAGAAGATCTGACCGGTGAACCTGCACCCAGAAAGGGTTATGAAGACAGGGAAAGAAGCAGCTCAGGGGTCCCACAGAGACCCCCCCCCCCCGCCAGCATGTCTGAGGGTTGGGTGTGCAGAGGAAGGCCCTGGGCCTCATGTTCCCACACTGGATATAAGAACCAACCACAGGGGTGCTGGAGAGATGGCTCAGCGATTAAGAGCATTGCTTGCTCTTCCGAAGGTCCTGAGTTCAATTCCCAGCAACCACATGATGGTTCACAACCATCTGTAATGAGGTCTGGTGCCCTCTTCTGGCCAGCAGGCATACACACAGATAGAATACTGTATAATAATAATATAAGAATAAATATAAATAAATATTAAAAAAAAAGAACCAACCACAGGGGTGCTGGAGAGATGGCTCAGCTGTTAAGAGCACTGGCTGCTCTTCCAGAGGACCCGAGTTCAGTTCCCAGCACCCATATCCAATGCTGACAACCATATCCAGTGCCGACAAGATGGCTCAGTGAGTAGAAACATTTGCCCTTGCTGTAACTGAGTTTGATTCCAGCAACTGACGTGGTGGAAGGAGAGAACTGACTCCCACAGGCTGTCCTCTGACCCACAAGGGTGCAGTAACACGGGAACTCCTCTACTGCGCCCTCCCACATAAAATGTAGGGAAATTAATATACACGTATACGCTGGGATTAAAGTGGTACACCGCTGCCGCCGCCCGCCTAACCAGGAACAATAGCCGTACTGAGAGAACACAGCCACACTGCTAGCGGGCTAGGGTAGAGCCCAGCTGAGGGAAGAGCAGAAACAAAACAGGGGAGGGCCAGCTGTAGCAAGGATGCTGAGCAGCAAAAGTAGATGTCAGAAGCCATGAAGCCCAGCAACAGCAAGATGGGAGATGGTTGGACTCTGGAGGTCCGGCCACAGGGGTTAATGCAGAGTCAGGAGACAGGAGAAGCCAGACACCGAGGCTGGAGGGACAGCCTCACCTATGTCCACAGTGAGTGGCTGCTGCAGCCCAACGTGCTCCACCTGGCATTGGTAATGGTGTTCATCTCCTCTTTTGACCTCCAGCAATGACCAGGCGTGGAAAGAGCCGTCACCATTGGGACCGATGCTGCTATTCCCAGTGCCTGCAGCCAGCCCACTCCTCAGGAACCGGAGCTTCAGCTCAGGTGGGTAGAAGGAGAAAGCAGCACAGGTCAGTATGGAGGAGTCGGAGTTGGAGTCGCTAGGACGAGCCTTCAGGCGCATGGAGGGTGGCTCTGTGGGGACACGGGATGAGCCAGCAGTCAGCTGGGCTCTGACCCCACCAGGACGCCCCCTTTCTTCCCCTCCCACCCCTGTTCTGGTGTGTATGTGTGGCTATGCAGGTGTGGAGGCCAGAGCTCCACAGCAGCCGCACTCTGCTCCTGCCTTTCCGCTTTATTTCCACTCTCTGTGGAAGGGTGTTTTTTGGCATGTGTGTCTGTGTGCCACATGCACACAGTGACCACAGAGGCCAGAAATGGACATCAGATCCCCTAGAACTGGTTACAGATTGCTGCGAGCTACCATGTGGGTGATCGGAATCAAATTCAGGTCGTCCCATGGATAGCAAGTGCAGCGCTGGAGAGATGGCTCAGAGGTGAAGAGCACTGGCTGCTCTTCCAGAGGTCCTGAGTTCAATTCCCAGCAACCACACGGTGGCTCACAACCATCTGTAGTGAGATCTGGCGCCCTCTCTGCCGGTGCGCAGACAAGCAGCAGCAGTACACCAGCCCCAGCAAACGTGCCAGGGCTCAGAACCCCGGTGCCAAGCATCTCCCCAGGCACATGTGTTTGTCTCTTTTGAAGCTGAATTTCACTCTAGCCCAGACTGGCTAGAACTCCCTGGGTAGACAAGGATGACTTTGAATTCCTGATCTTCCCGCACTTCCTAAGTGCTGAGAGCTCGTAGGCATTGCCACCATGCCCGGTTTAGCGCTGAGATGCAAGTGCTGAACTGAGCTCCGCCCCCTCACGTTCCTTGGTGGAAATGGGCTGTCGTTCTCTCTAGCCGTGACTGCTGTAGGCCCTGGGAGCACATCGACCCATGGACACGGCAGATCACACAGAGATGTGATACTGTACACCACACCAGTAACTCCAGAGCCCAAGGAGCTGAGGCGGGAAAACCGTGAGTTCTGGAAGTACGAGGTACCTTTTAATCCCAGCACTGGGCGGAGTGGGGGGGGGGCAGGGAAGGTGGAGCTCTGTGGGTACCAAGCCAGCCTGGTCTACAGAGCAAATGCCAGGCTAGCCAAGGCTACATAGCAACATAGTGAAACACTGTCTAAACAAAAGAAAGAGAGAGGGGAAGGAAGGAAGAAATGCCTGAAGAATAAATAAGTAAATTGCAGCTAGGATGTGGCTTCGTTTGCAGAGTGCTTGTCTGACGTGTGACATCCTGAGTTCAGTTGCCAGCGCACTGACAACGGCTGTGCGTGGTGGGGCATACCCATAATCTCGGCACTCCAGAGGTGGAGGATGGAGGATGGGGACTTCAAGATTATCTATGGTTACAAAGAAGTTTGAGGCTGGGCTGGAGAGATGACTCTGGCTGCTCTTCCAAAGGTCCTGAGTTCAATTCCCAGCAACCACATGGTGACTCACGGCCATCTAAATGAGATCTGGTGTCCTCTTTGGGCATGCAGGCATGTAGTATACATAAATAAATAAATAAATCTTTAAAAAAAAAGTTTGAGGCCAGCCTGGGTTACACAAGACCCTGAATCAACAACAATAAACCCCCCTAAACAAAGTGAATGTCGCTGGGGATCTGAGAACCTAGCAAGGCTTGCTGGGCAGAGACATTCCCTCCATCCGGGGTGGGTCTGTTTGGGTCCCCAGCTGCAGGTACTCAGCAGAAAATAAGCTGACAATTTCTTAGGAAGAGGAAGCCAGGCAGCTTCCCTGAAAGAGGGGCCTCGCTGGCAGCTGGTGAGACCTGGGGCACCATCAGCTCTGCCGCAGAAGACCGGACCTAGGTCAGCAGTTCTGTGTCCTGCCGGGCTGCTGTTGTTTTCTAGGGAAGATGACTTCCTGTGGGGGGTGCTGAGGGACACCCGTGTTCCTCCTATTTTCCAGGGTTGACTGAAAGTCAGCCCAGCCTTGGCTTCTGTTTAACAGGAAAAAGGAAGCCCTTTAACCACCAGGGACACTAAGTCGGGAGGCCTGTGAGCCTGGCGGCGAGGTGGCTAAGGCAGAGGAATCACAGGTTCAAGGTTTAAATCATGGAGTGAGTTCAAAGCTAGCCTGGTGGCTGGGCGGTGGTGGCCCATGCCTTTAAGCCCAGCACTTAGGAGGCAGAGGCAGGGGGATCTCTGTGAATTCCAGGCCAGCCTGGTCTACAGAGTGAATTCCAAGACAGCTAGGGCAACACAGAGAAAACTTGTCTCAAAAAAAAAAAAAAAAACCCAACCAAACAAAAAACAAATAAACAAACAAAAACCCAACAATTCTGTTAAGTAAAATTAGGGCCTGAAGTCTGCTGGGTGGCAGAGCAAGCCACTGAGGACGGCTCTGTGGTAGAGCTGCTGCCTGGTAAGTATGGAAGGAAGGGAACAGTAACGCAGCCTTACACCTGGTGACAGAAGGCTATTATGAGAAACCAAACCACATACAGACAGAAAGTATCAACTGTAGCAGCCATGTGAACAATGTGGCTACACTGTATTCCTGTTTTCTTGGTCATGGCTGACTCAGAGATCCACCTGCCCTGCCTCTGGAATGCGTGGACCACCACACTAAACCACCAGGGCGTTTCCTGGCTAAATGAGCCCAGGGGCTGAACAGAAGA